TCTCTCCATATATGATTGTCCACCAAAAATACATCCATATACTGAAGCTCCTTCATGATGGACATGCACTCCATAGTCCTTGTCAACAATGACTAATGTGAACTGATCAAAGTCAGATTTGGAGTGAAACAAAGATATGTCATTGCTCCAACTTTGTTCACCATCTTCATTGTAACAGGGATTGACATCATAAAAGATGATCTCCTTCCAAGGATTGAGACTGTCTACAGGACAAATAGTAGATTATTCAACCTTTGCTCATCTTCACTCCCAAACCAAAACATCAGTGAGTTCATTGATTGAGTTTCAATATGCAGCTGACAAAAGTGTCGCAGCACATTCTGAATCACAGCTGCAATAAATACTGAATACCTTCAACAATGCATACACCAAATTTGGACTAAAAATCAATGCAAATAAGACAAAAATCATCTGTCAACCATCATCAACTGAAACAGTCCGGATAGAAGCAAAGATACAATTTGGTGAAACAGTTTTGGAGAATGTGGATTGCTTTCCTTATCATGGTAGCCATCTGTCTTCTAGCCTTTAAGATGAGATACAACACCCTCTCAAATGTGCAAAATCTGCTTTTGGTCACTTTCAAATGTGTTAGTGATTCCAACTCTCCCGTTTGCCTTTGAGACCCTGGATAACTTATCGTCAACATCTGAAGTTCCTTGAAAAATTTAATTGGTGTTTACTTCAAATTATCTTGAACATCAGTGGGGAAGAAAGAACTAATGTCAGTGTACTGGAACAAGCTAAAATGACCAGCAATTAAGCTATGAAGATAAAAAAAAATCAACTTCAATCATGTAGACATGGATGACAAGCAGCTATTAAAGCAAATCTTTTGTTCCCAACTCAAAGAAGGAAATTGGAAAAGAGGAGGTCAAAAAAGAGATTCAAGGTCATTCTAAAACAAAACATGAAGAAATGTAATGTTGACATCAACAGCTGTGAATCCAGTGCAATGGACAGGAATCACTGGAGATCTATTGTCATAGACAGAACAACAATTTTTGAATCCAAATTATCAGCCAAACTAGGGGGAAAAAGACCACAATGACAATCGAGGCCTAATCCACCATCCGGAACAACCTGTCCATTAATGTGGAAGGACCTTTCATGCAAAAATCGGTCTCATTAGCCATCTCAGAGTTTACAAACTGAACTGATCAAGGCAAACGGAACCAGACCATCATCCATGACCTTGAGAGATAATCAAAAGAGGTTTAGGTTTTATTACTCTTCATAGATTTTTCCATTGAGTGGAACTTCTGAATATTGTCTTGATGTTGTATGGATTGCAGACAGAAACTGATAAAAGAAATATTGTATAATTTTCAAGAGACTTTTACACTAAGTTAATTTCAAAGTATATCTGGTTTTATTAGAAATCTATACAACTCAAGGGCTGTTCATCATATTGTAAATAAAGACAATAATAATTACTGATATTTATTTTTTAGTTTAAGATATATATTTTTACAAGTCATAAGAAAAACAATCTTGAAAAAAAAAAAGATATTGCGAACTTACTGAGTGATATGAACACAATGTTGGAAATTGTAATAAAAATCAACTGAAAGCAGAGAGCAACCAAAACAGAATATGGAAAACATGGTCAAGATAAGAACAAGATAAAAAAAAACTAGCTTTACGAATATCATAAAAAGAGATTTGAGGAAAATTACAAAGAGTAATAAGCAAGAAAAGTGGATTGACTATCAAGAAAATATTTGAAGACGCTAATGGGTGTTGTGAATGTAAACAATAAGAAAAGATGCAGAATATCAAGAACATTAACTAAAGGCATGAATGTAACTAAAATACTACCTTTAAGTAAACATCACAAACAGGAATGTGTAAATTGGGTAAAGAAGTACATGAAAACTGATTTCTCAAAAGTAATTTTTAATGATGAATGTGAAGTTATATTTGGTGAACCTGAATGCTAGGCTAGAAGTTGGGTCCTTCATAGAAATAATCAACATGATGGAGAAGACAAGTGCAGGGATGTTGAGTAAAGTTTGCATCTATTATTGTAGGCAGTTTAATTACAACTGTCATCAAAGTTGATAATGATATCAAAAGAATTATAAATTATATTATTGTAAGTTCTTTGACAAGAAGGTTTTTGAATGACATTGGTTGCAACTATGAAGCTTTAAGCTAAAAAAAAAAAAGAAGGTATATTTCTGCAGGTCAGTGCTCCTTCACCACCAGTATATCTTTAAATGAGGGATGTGTGCTGATAGTAATCATGGATAGTGGCTCAGAACAAGAATTCTGAGGGCACAGTTTGCATTCTAGTTGAGTTTCATTACATTTACTTTCACACAAATAGATTTGGCAAAAGTATGAATCCCTGAACACCCCTAGTTGTGGGTTAAATAGTAGGACAGACGGGCTCTTCAGCCTTGGGTGGCAACCAGCATCTCATGAATGGATCATGGAGTTTACAATGACTCTGTGATCCTGACCATGAATTGGCTTTGTGTGCTCCTTCACATTCTACAAAGCTGAATATTACCCAGGTTATAAGAACAGAAGTTTTAATCACACGGGAATGACCTACATACTCTCCAGATAGAAAATAGAACATCTAATAGAAAAGAAAACAATATTTACACTATTTTAAAAGTGAATAAAATCAATGAATGAAAGAGTGATGAAGGTTATAGAATGAAAAGTAAAAACATGTTTCTATGGATTTGGGGAATTATTCATAAACAGAAATTTATGCACTGAGTTTTGCTTGTATAATAAAACCTAATTCTCTCAAAACAAGTTATCAATTTAAAAAAAAAATAGATATATATTTTATTAAACTCAATAGTATATTACTCATATCAATGTATACTGAAAATCTTACAAACATCAGTTAGTTAATACCAATTTTATTGTAAAAATATTGATTTCAACAACAAAATCTGATATAATATAGGTGACACCATATTCCTCTGACCTCACCAGAAAAAAATACTGTGAGACTATATAAATTCATTAATATTTTCAATAGACGAAAAAGAAACAAAGGACAAACTGGCTTTCCTTGATATAATAACTTGTGAATGGGTCTACGAAGACATTATGTCATAAACAAACATTATTGAATATCTGAATTTCAATTCTCATCAATCCAGTGTGAAAAAGAACTGTTTGTTGCCTACAGCATTGAGGAAAAGTTATGTGTCAATCTAGATATATAGCAACAGGAGATGATTAACATTACGAATATCCTTCATATTACCAATTATTCTGCAAACATAACATTGGCTTCCACAAAATAGAGATACAAGATTGTAGGATAATAGTAAAAAAAAAACAAAAAAACAACTATGGTTTGCCTGACTTCAGAGGTTTGTTCAAAAGGATATAGTGATTTGATCTGTGATTTATACAACATCAAGAGAGGCTTGAAAAATACTTCCACTTTTCAAAAACTTTTCAGAAAACAAATTCCCCATCAAAAGAAAACCTGACCAACAACTGTGTGCCTACCATTCCATGCATTTACATTTGTCAATACAAAGATAAAATCTGAAGAACATCAGTAGAGAGACTATAAAATCAGACATGACTGACCATGTGTAGAAGGAAAAGAGTGGTGAACCATGAACATTTGTGAAATGAAGTAAGAATAATAAAAAACAGCAACAAAAAATTGATAATTGAAAGAATCAGTTTATATGTTATATTATAAAAAACATCTCAGCAGAAATGAAGAACATATTGAAACCTTTGATAAGAAAAAAATAGACATTGGGTTTAAGGTTCTGAAATTTCACTACTGATAAAAGAGTTGATTAGCACACCAAGTTACTTTGTTGCTGTGTGTTCAATCCCTGGATAAAGTAATCAAAATCTAATTTAGTAGAAAAGCGCAAATGAAATCTCTTGGCACCAAAATGAATACAAGATATATACTTAAATGGACAGTGAACTGAGAACGTTCAACCCTACTTGAAATAAATAGTTCAAAATTCCCAGAATTCAAGGCTAGAATAAAACTAGAGAGTAAAGAAGAGAAATTAACTAAGATGAAGACATTTGTTCAAATAGATAAATGTATATTAATAATAATTATCTTGGAAATTTAGACAGCAGTAGAACAGCATGAAACTATTTTTTGTCAAATGAAATGTCTATAAAAGAGACTATATAAAAATAGATATATCAACAATTTTAAACATGCTTGGCTTTTTAAAAGAGACTATATAAAAATAGATATATCAACAATTTTAAACATGCTTGGCTTTTTAAAAGAGACTATATAAAAATAGATATATCAACAATTTTAAACATGCTTGGCTTTTTATGAACAATTAACTTCGGACAAATATTACCATTCTTTGTATTCCTTTAAGTTTGTTTAACTCTTTAGCATTCAACCCACCCCTGTAAATATTGGCTCTAAATATACAACTGTAACACACCCCATGCATACTCTGCCATTTTATATGATGATATCACCACAAGTAACGCAGCAAATTCCACAAACAGTGAAACTTTAAGAGATGATATTTATTAGGTGGGTTGGAGAATGTTGAAGGGTTAAACCAAATCTATCTTTTGTCTTTCAAAAGATTTACATGAGATTCTATGATTAATGACCCTATTTGCATACAATTGTCAATGCAATGTATATTTTGTGTTGTTACTAATTATTTTACTAGATATTAAAATTCCTTTGTGTAAGCAACAATTTTTTTCAGAAAGTTGGATAATCTATAAGACAATCTCTATTTATATTGAATTATGTTTCCTCTAATCTATATGCCAGATCATGTTTTTCTTCTGATAAAACTAACATATTGAAATTCATATAAAAAGATGGCAGAATATATTTTGATAAAATTCGAAACTTGTATTTTACTCAAATTGTCCTTTTTTTGCTTGATTAACTGAATATTTCTCAAAATTATGCTGACTCATAAAATTTGTTTTGGTGATTTACTGTTCTTTGAACACATACAAATGTATAAACTTACCAGATCTCTCTGTGGGATATATGTTGCACATTCTTTACAATCACTCACTACAAAATCTTGACAGTCAATATGTGCATAATATTCACAAACTGAAGAAAATAGAAAAAAGTTGTATAAAAGAATTAGTGTAGCTATTCATGAAGCACAGGTTTGTACATCATGAAAAAAATGATAAAAACCTTACAAAACATTAAGCAAAATATTTTCCATAAAAAAGTAAAAAAACAAAGATGTGTATAAGTGAAAACAGCAAATGCTCAACTGAAACAACAAAAGATATTTTCACAAATAACTTATGAATAATGTTATTTATTTAATTGCATAACAAAAAACTAACATTCTATAAAATTTATAGGAAGAACTTTTTACACTAATTTCATTATTCAGACTGTTGTCCTCATCTTCACTATCCCATTCATGATATTTTTGGCTATTGCACACACTGACCTTCTTTAGATGATATTTGTTGTAATTTTAAACCACGCCCTTTATTTAGCCCACAGGGGTAGATTGTTCTAATTCCACAAAACAAGGCTTTTGGATGTCTCAGTTTTAGTTAATTCACCTTGATAATAAGTTTTTGTTCTCTCCAATGATTGAACTCACAACTCTTTGTATCAAGTCACTTTTTGGATCAATCAACCAATGCTTTATGTATGCAATAGTAAAGATGAGGGCATCAGTCCAAACAATGTATATAGTGTAAGTAGTTACAATATCTTCATCATGGAAATATAGCAAGGAAGAACATGTCAAGAAGGATAATAAAATGAAGGTTCCAATATGTTCAAATCTTGGTTTTCAAAAGGCAGTTTACTGTAACTCATTTAAAACTATTTGTCATATATTAATATAGCAATGATAAGGAATCATTAAAAAAAATGCAATAAATTATTTACTTCACATTTAGATCACTGAGGCTGGTTTTGGTTTTGAAAAATGATTCTGAGTAACTTTTTATTTTGATGCTAAAATTTTGTACAAATTTAAAGTTATCAAGATGCCAAATTCAATACAAACACATGCACTCATGAGTGCATTACAATGTCTAGATATATAACTAGATGTTATAGACTGCATTTTCAAATGCATTTTATATTAAAAAATCTCTAGTGTAAGTTAGTGAAGATATTTATATGTTCAGTGCATATAAAAAAGACTCACATGAACATTCAGAATTGTCTCCAGCTTATGAGAATTTCTTTTAAGCTGAAATGATTTTGTAATAGTCTACAACCAGAAGTTCATTACCCTTTTCTACCAAAACCTCTGTTGTTTATTCCTCAACAGTTGAATGGATTAAGGTGGAGTTCTTTATTTGTAAATAGTAGGTGTTCTTAATAAGATTGTTTAATTGAAGACATGATTTGTTCCAAATTATGTTCCTCTGTAGACATACACAAGTTACAAGGTTTATGTAGGTTATATAATGTAAAGTGATTAAACCCAACTTTGTTGAAGATAGACTTTTCTCCTCAGAACATTTCTTAAAGAACTGTTCTATTAAAAGTTTTACATTTCTGTTATTATACAACTTTGGAATGAGGAAGAGGTAACGATACATAATGTTCTAGCTAACTTTGTAAACATTATTACATTGTAGACGTATTCAGACTAAATGTTTTCCTTATAGATTTAATATGTTAGACAACTTACATTTCCTTTTATAGAAGAGATTAACTCTTCATAAAAAATGTGACTAGATTTATTAAGTCATAATTTTGACAACTTTTTCCTCTCAATAAATGAAGAAAGAATTCTTAGAATGGTCAAATTTAGGGAAGTAGGTGGGGCTGAGAAAGTTTTATTGCAATGATATTTTGAACATTTGTTGTTACATTAGCCTCTTCTAAAAATATTTCAAATGATATGTTAAAGCCATGAGTTATTTTTCAGACATGAACTACAAAAGCATAAAAAAAAAAAAAAGGAATTTATGCTTATATGACTATTATAAGATAAAATTTCTTTATCAAAATATTTATTGATCTTACAGATGATTTAGGGATTATGATAAAAATATTCAATAAATTTGAGAATATTATGAGCTATTCCTCTTGTTCTTCCTGATCATGAATTTGAGCAAAAATAACAAGAAATTCTTTTTCCTAATGTCAACAATTATCAGTTACACTTATTAATTAGCAGGAAATTAGTAAAAAAATTAATTAATGTTTGGATTCTACTTAGAACATGAATTGTTTAAAAGTTTTAATGAACTCACTTCTTTTGTGAAACTCAATTACTAGCAGAAAAAAGAAACAAGTACTTTCATTTAAGTTTTCAAATAAGCATCAGACTTACTTTCACAACGTATTGCAAGACTATCTTCTAGCCTTTTCCGGCACACACTGCAAAATTTTCTTTTAAAGTGCCCAGGTTCTGACCAGCAGTGGGCAACAGGGTTCTAAAAAAAAGGGGAAAAAAGCATAAATATTGTTTATTTATTGAAACTGATTAATATCACACATAATGCATATAAAAAAAACAGGTTACATTAATAATTGACTATAAATCATATTTTCCATTCAATTGTCCAAATAGAAAATGATACAAAAATACACACAGTTGTCTTAAATATTTATATGTCATCAATGTTTCTATAAAGATTTTATTGCAGACATTGTATCCTGCAACATTATGTGTTTAATGCAGAGAAGGAATTTTAGAAGAAAAAGAATTGACAAAAGAGAAGTATTTCAAGATAGATAAATCCTTTTAGAGGAAATCATCACAGATGGCGGAATGTGAAATTTCATGTAAGATGATTCTTTGCCAATGTTCTGAAGGGAAACGGCACATAGAAGATGTTTGTAAAACATTGAAAACAGTCATTATGTGTTTTTCTACTAAACTATCTGATTTATCTTTCTACAGGTGCACAAGTTGGCACACTAAGTTAAATACATTTGTCTTTACTTAAATGTAGTGTTTGTAAAATCCCCTTTGTCTCAAATTGAATAAATCTCTCTATATAGAGAAGCACAGATGTGAAAAGTTGCTTTGTTAGAAAATCCAATAGGCTTAGACAGGAGAGTATCAATAAAAAAACATATTTGCATACCTGCCCTTTTTATTTAAGCCTATGCAAATATATGAATCATTTCTTTTTCAGAACTTGTTAGAATTTATCTAATGAAATCAATAAAAATGAAACAATGAACAAGATAATTCTATATATTATAAAAAATATCCGATGCGATGAGAATGAAAGTAATATATAAATTCCAACGTTCACAGCATTAATCCAAAAGAGGGCTTGATACCGATAGTAGAGCGATAATTATTTATTTATTATAATTTTATCATATAGACAAAACCATTTTACTCACTACACAGATGCAACTTCGTTTCAGTGCATTTCAACTGCACTTTGACGGGTGAGAATCAAAAATGGTTATGAACAATCCTGCAATAACAATCAAAGTGCATTTGAAATGCACTGAAACAAAGTTGCATCTTTGTAGTGAGTAAAATGGTTTTGTCTATATGATAAAATTATAATAAATAAATATATTATAAAAAATATACAAATGAAAGATATTTTTTGATAAAGCATAAACTTTAAATTCTTTCCAAGACAACATTATATATTATTCAAGTTTTAAATGTGGGTTTCACTGATTTTTAATGCAGCAAGTCAAATATGATGTGTAAATGCTTACTTACAAGTTGAAGAACTATAACCACATGTAGCAGTCAAAGAGATGACAACAATAAAAATATCTTTCTAGATCTCATGCATTTATCCAATTAAATATATATCACTTGCTTGAGATTTTGTGATCAAAACAAACAACTCAACATTACATTAAATGTCAGCTACATGTGTATTAAGGATTATTTACTATGAATACAAGCCAAGATCAAACGCCTCATCTGCATCAGCAGCAGCAGAAGGAAGTCGGTTTTTGACTATCAACACTTATTTATATTACTTATTTCTATTACAAGCTTCAGTCACACTAAGTGGGACTATCACCTGCTAATTTGATTATCACTCAGATTCTTTTTCTTAAACCTAAAGTAAATGTCTCTGCAATCTAATGAAAACATATTGTATTTTCTTTTTTTATTTATATTCAACAACATACCCATGTACATGTGTTTAGAAAGTTGAAGTTTTTTTCACTCTGGAATCTTAACAAAACTCATAACTAAGATTATTTCCAAATTAAAAAGGTACTACATGTTAGGATATAGAAGATTTTTATCTAAACTCACAGGATTCATTTGAAATTATGAACATGAACAAAAAACATTATGTGCCAAAAAATGTGATTATAAATTATTACTGAAATTACACAGAAAAAGTAATGGAAATTGTTAGATAAGATCCTTGTATGGAAATAAAAAATATATTTAAGAGAAGGAAAATTTTGTAAGAAAAATAATTATTCTTATTTTATCATGTTTTATTTTTTGACCATTTAGTTTAGGCATTTAAAAGAATTTATATATATATTTGGTATGCATGTAGATTAGTCATTTGAAAGAATTAGCATATTCTTGGTGTGCATGTAGATTGTTATTTGAAAGAATTAGTATGTCTTTGGTAGAAATGTAAATTAGTCATTTGAATAAATTAAGTAACTCACTGGTGGGCATGTTGATTAGGCATTTGAAATAATTAGTATATGTTTGGTGGTTTGGTGTGCATGTAGTTTAGGTATTTGAATGAATTAGGTCTTGTGTGAGCACATATATTAGTCATTTGAAAGAATTAGTATGTCTTTGATGTGCATTTAAATTAGTCATTTGAAAGAATTAGTATATCTTTGTGCATGTAGATTAATTATTTCAAAGAATTAGTATATCACTGGTGTGCATGTAGATTAAGTATTTGAAAGAATTAATATATATTTGGTGTGCATATAAATTAGGCATTTGAACAAATTAGTACATCACTGGTGGGCATGTAGAATAGTTATTTGAACAAATTTGTATATCTTTGGAGTGCATGTAGATTAAGTATTTGAATGAATCAGCATACTATGCATGTAGATTGTTATTTGAGAGAATTAGTATATCTTTGATGGGCATGTAAATTAGTCATTTGAATAAATTAGTACATCATTGGTGTGGACATATACTAGGTATTTGAAACTATTAGTATATGTTTGATGTGTATGTAGGTTAGGCATTTGAAATAATTAGTATACATTTGGTTGGCATGTAGATTAGACATTTGAATAAATTAGTACATCTTTGGTGGGCATATAGATTAGTCATTTGAAAAAATTAGTATAATTTTGATTTAAATGAATTAGTGTATCTTTGGTATGCATGTAGATTAAGAATTTCAATGAATTAATATATGATTGGTGTGCATGTAGATTAGGCATTTGAATGGATTACTATATCATTTGTGGGCAGGTACATTAGTTGAATAAATTAGTACATCTTTGATGCAGATTTAGCATTTGAAAGAATTAATATAAATTTGGTGTGCATATAAATTAGTCATTTGAATAATTAGTACATCTTTGGTGAGCATGTAGATTATGCATATGAAAGTTTATGGAGATAAGCCATTTGAAAGAATTAGTATATCTTTGCATGTAGATTAGTAGTTTCAAAGAATTAGTATATCATTGGTGTGCATGTAGATTAGGGATTTGAATAAATTAGTACAACTTTGGTTGGCACATAGATGTCATTTGAATAAATTAGTACATCTTAGATGTAGATTAGTCATTTGAAAGAATGAGTATATATTTGGTATGCATGCAGATGAGACATTTGAAAATATTAATATATCTTTGTGGACATGTAGATTAGTCATTTGAATAAACTAGTACACCTTTGGAGTGCATGTAGATTAGGCATCTGATAGAATTAGTATATCTTTGGTGTACATGTAGATTAGTCATTTGTGATGAATTAGTATATCTTTGCTGGATATGTAGATGAGTCATTTTTTGAAATGATTCATCTACATGCATCAGTATATAATTAGTATATAATTGGTGTGCATGTAGATTAAGAATTTGAATGAATTAGTATATTTTTGCTGCATATGCAGAATAAGTATTTGAAAGAATTAGTATATCTTTGGTGACCATGTATATTAGGTTTTTGAATGAATTAGTATATTATTGGTATGCATGTAGATTAGTCATTTGAAAGAATTTGTGTCCGTGAAGATTAGGCATTTAAAAACAAATTGCATATCTTTGGTGTGCATCTAGATTAGGAATCTGAAAGAATTAGTATATTTTTGGTGTGCATGTAGATTCAGCATACAATCCCTCATCCAGAATTGCAAACACCTCTGATCATACACAATGTTGCAGGAGGAAAAATGCCAAAAAATTCCTAAATCATAAATGCAACATTAGTAAAATGAAAGATAAAACACAATGATATAAAACCTGCTGCCAGTTTTTCTATTCTGATATTCACATCTTTATTTTTTATCATTTGGAAGAAACTTGCTGTCAAATATTTAGAATATCTTTTTTATTATTTTCATCTGTTTTTCTTTCTTATTTCAGAAATAAGAAATAAATAATTCTAGCATGAATTTTGTTTATCTCAATAGATGTTCTTTCTTTGCAACATCAAATATTGTATTTGTCTAATTTTCCTTTTCTCAATAGAAAAATGCCTAACACCACTACTATAAGCTGATCTAGTGAAACCAGTTATAATGAAACATTAGCAAACACATTTGAAATTTCAAGGTTATGTGTCGGAATTAATTGTATTAAAGATTATATATGAAAAAGTATTCAATAAAGGAAACATTTCTATCTTTAAGATTTTATTATGAAGAAATTGGCAAGAGATAAAAAGAAACTCTTGAGGGACTAAAATGTTTCTTGCTTCAGCTTTTAATTTAACATTTAAACATGAAGACTCAGAATTTTAGTTTATAAATAGAAAATAATAAACTATTCATAGGAAGATATTTATAAAAAAAAAAAGATTTAGAAATCAGTATTGAATTTTACAAGGTATTCTCAACAGCAGGAATTAATTTTTAAAGATTTAAAAAGAGGAACAACTAAAAGAAGGAATTCAGAAAGAATCATCAAAGACAAAATGAAGCTCATTTTTAGCAAAGAATGTCTTTTAATATTGGCCATCCAACTTGGTATTTCAGAATTTTTTTTTATACACTTTTTCAAGTCCCAGAAACTTGTTCCTCATAGCATGTCATATTCTACCAGACAAATATCTTTGTGGCAAAAGATCTCCTTTTATTAAGACTCTTAATTTTACTTTATTTTCTCACAGAATGCATTAAACAATCCAGCAGACATTCAAGAGATATAAAGTTAAAAGCTTTCTTACTATTAAAGTAATAAAGTAAATTTATTAAAACAGCACTAAAATTCTGAAAAGAAGAAAACAGTAAAAAATTACCAATCAGGATATTTTTATTTCATGTTTTTCAAACAGGTTCCTGAACAGAATTTATACAACATATTATTCTGATGTTTTTCACAAATATAAAAACTATTTCTTTTTGATTTACATCAATAATAAAACTCTGTATACATTTTGTCATTTCTCACCCGAATCTATCAAAAGCACTAACATACATGACATTGTCTTTTCTTTATTGTTCCAAGTAAAGATGATAAAATCATTCACCAAAGTAAATCAATCGTTTGACTTTTGCTGACAGCTGCTGCTGCCAGTGCTTTGAGTATTAGTCATTTGGGATTACAAACCCATGTTTTGTATCAAATTTTAGGGTGTGTGTGACTGAATGCCTAGTTCAACATATATAGTGAAATATATATGCTATATTGAAATTGTCTTGCCATGGATAAACATCTCAAAGTATGGAAGAACACTTCTCCTGCACAACAGATACTGGTATAGGAAACTTAAAAAGGTCAAGTCAAGATTAATCATCAAGGCCTTGAATTTTCAGAATTCTAAAAACAATACCTTGTACATAAAAGATTGATGTATGAATCAAGTAAACAATATACATGATGTTTCTATTATTTACTGAGTAATATTGACATTAATGATTATAGAAATAATTTAACACTAAATCCATTCACCAAAGTTTTTTTCATCCAGCTGAAGTTATTTTTGAATTGAGAGTTGTCCTTCTACTAGGCTGGTTGCCAACCACAGCTAGAGAGCCTAGTCTACTCTGCTATTTAACTCATAGCTAGGAGAATTACTGAATTGATTAACTAAAATATTTAATGACAAGAGAATCTCAAATATCTACTGATGATATGATAAAATGTTAAACATACTACAATTGTTCTTGTAAATCCTCAAGTCAATAGTTTTTTTTTTGTTTTTTTAAATTGGTATCACTAAGACACAAGGGGGTCACAGTGTGTGGAAGAATTAGGGACAGAAATATTAATAATGATTGGGAAGAAGGAAAGAGTAATCGGGAGGACAGTAGATAGCAATTGACATTGGATTAAATTCTTTGCAGATTAAAGTTAGCTGGAAAGCATGGAGTCAGAAATTTTAGATTATATATGACATGAAGATGATTTTTTTCAATATTTAGAATAAACACTTTGTCAGGTAACTGCAAAAATGATTGCATTCAAAATTTTCCAGACTAGAATTTAGTCATTAGGTAAATTATCCAAATGCAGAGCTCTATTCATGCATGCATTGAATATTGCTGCCATATCTGATCTGGTGCTCTTACTATATATCGTGAGATTCTTGACAAAATCCAAACAAGGGTCTGTAATATTATTGATCCTGATATCTCAGCTTCAGTCACTTTCCCACCACAATAACGTAGCTTGCCTGTGCCTTTTCTATAAATATTTTCACGGTAATTGTTCTGATTAGCTTTACTCCTTGGTACCTTGACTGCATGAATTTTCCTCCTTGGTACCTTGACTGCATCGTACTAGATTGGCATTTAGGTCTCATCATTTTACTATTGAAATAGCTAGATGCAACCATAAATTCTATTCTAATAATTTCTTTTCTTGTACTTCTCACCTGTGGAGCTCTCTTCCATCTTGTTTCCCTGCTACCTACAATCTTCAAACATATAAATACAACATCACTCATCTGTCTTCCTGAATCCTCTTCTTTTATTGTCCTTTTTCCTTACTAAGGTTTTCACATTTTCTTTCAGTCTTAATAACCCCATGCATATTAGTGGCACCATCACCTAAATTAGAGTGAAATGATATAAAAAAAAAAAAGAAGATATTTTTTATCAAACTTTAAGAAAAATTATTTCTCTTGTTTCTTTTGATAGAGAGAAAGCTATTTATTGAGCAATGATGTAAGTGAAAATTATTTAAAAATAATAATTGTTTTAGTCTTGATGTTAAATGAAACATGTCACATGATCAGATATTCACTTGTCTTTGTCCAGAACTATAAGGCTATCAAGGTAAATCATATTTTATTGCTAAAATGTAGGAAAAAATATTGCAATAGATTATCCTATTAAATGTCCTTTCATGAAGAATAACATTTTGTAAAAACAAAATGTTATTTGTTGTGTTATTTTATTAACTAACAGAAAAATTTTAAAATCTACCTGAGAATTTATTTTGAGAAATCATTGTAAAATATACTGAAAAAATAAAGTCTATTTCCCTGTATTTTCCTATCTGATAGCTAAGGAAAAAATAGAAGAATATTTTGTAATGTTCAAGAGTTTCAAAACCAACTTCATACCCATTTATGTAAAATAAGTACAATTTTACATTTGCGTACTGACTCTTTTTTTTTTTTTTAAATATGGTACCAATTCAGTCATTTGGGTTGAAACACTCAATAATAAATTTGTATTATATTTAAATTTATTAGAACAAAGTAAATTATTTTGTGAAAATTGAAAATACTAGATTTAATTCTTTACAACTAAAATAAGTTCTAATAATTCTAATATTTGAAGAAATTCTTTTCATTTCTCAACTTTTCACAAAAGTAAATATTAGACATATTCAAAAAAGGAAAAAGAAAAAGACAAAAACCAACCATATTCTAATATTTCAAGAATTCTACTGATCATAGTCTTTATATCACTTATGATATTCACATTTTGAATGAGCCATTCTAGAGACTTCTTCAGGTGTAAAATTTATAAGAAATTTGGATGTTCTTTTCTCCAGAAATAAATGGTTAATAAAATGACCAGCTTGGCTCATTCCTGACAACACAAACTCTTCAACTGATAGCATTCTCAGAACCCATGGTAGCACTTCCATACTTATACACAGAGATGCTTTCTAATTCACAACTACTAAAATGCATGATACCCTGACTTACACATGCGTCCATCAGTGTATACATGTGTATATGACTTCCTTTGATTTTCTTCTTTAAGGACGTTCCCTGTCTATTATAAAAACTTCATCTCAGAGAGAGTGTCATCCCCTTCTCTACCTGTTTCTTGAAGATGATTTTTCTTCTATTCCTCAAAACTGGCTTTTAGAAGATGACTAGTTTCTTTATTTGTTCCACCTTTTCTACATTTGCATTGGATGTTATAAAAATACAATCTTTTATCAAACTCTTCTCTCCTCAGGGAATAACTTTAGTAAGGAGATTGAAAAGAGTGGGTTGTGCTACTGGAAACCATCCTGATATTAATGGACTAATCTTTTACATTTGTTCAACTGTTCCTCTTACATATGCTATGCTATTCTTTACAGTTGTTATATAGATGGGATCTATTCTTTTATTCCTCATTCTAAAAATAATAGATGATGGATAGTTGTTATTTAAATGGGTTCTATTTAAAAATCTTAATTCTTCTTTCAGTTTTCTATTGTTTACCTATTCTTGTTCTAGCTATGCATGTTATTGAATGTTTTTAAAGAATGTAAAAAGTGAAACTAAAAAGACCAAATGCCAGAGACAAAGATGACAGCATCAATATGTTAATAGATTTTCATTTCTCTTTGGGCGAAAACACATTTTTTTTGCATTATTCGGACTGTTGTCCTCATTCTCATTCCTATATCCACTCTCTAAGTTTTTGGTTCACCACTGCTGTAGCCTGGTATTAAACTCACAACTCTTTGGGTTTTGTCACTATCTAACCAATGCCTTTATTCTCTTGGAGAGTTGAGTTAAAGGGAAGAAACTGAGACATCCGGAGGAGGCATGGCACGTGGAGCCAGAACAATTTACCCTGGTAGATGAAATAAAGCATTCAGTTTGAAATTACAATAATCTGAAGAAGGATGGAGCATACAACAGCCGAAATGTTGTGAATATAGCAATGAAGATGAGGATGATAGTCTGAATAATGTAAATAATGTAAGTAATCATAATACCTCATCTCAGAGATATAGACAGAAACTCAAATTTCATACAACATGATTTCCACATTATAAATAATTATAAATAATTAAAAAGTGTTTAGCAAAACCCTCAGATAAAAGTTGCATTTTTACATGGTATTTCATTGATTAAATTCTTATTTTTCAACTAATTTACTTTTGCCAAAAGTTTTCAACATTCTAGAATTTAAATGGAAAACAGTCAAAATAAAATTTAAGTTTGATAGAATGAAGAAAAAAGAAAAAGATATCAGAAAATTACTTTGTTTCACTGGCACTCTTAATAAACTAGTAAGTAAAGCAAAAATGCCAGTATAGAAGTACTTATCTCCCACCCATCTGATATTCATCTGGAAGTCCATCAAGGTCATCTGGGACTTGACTGATACATTCTATTCTTATTATCTGTAGTATTTCTATATATAGACACATTCCTTAACAGCAAAGAAGTAGCTTGAGGAGTGAGATGCAATTTCTTCTATAAATAGACACATCTAATCCAGAAGTTATATATTGACAGCATGTGACAATCTGTCCTTGCATCACTACAGCTAGCTTACCTACAGTTCAGTGCACACTCTGTTTTCTCAATAGAAATTATCTTTTTATTTAGCTATCTCTTTTGTAAATAAAGAAGGAATTTATTAAAAAATTGTTCAGTTTTTTTTTTCCTAATTTATAATCTATATGATGAAGAGAAGTAATAGGCACTTACTTTGATCAAAGTTGTGGCAATGCTTGAGCAGGCTGACACCACTGTTTTTAGACATCTATCATGGACCACAAAATTGCACACTGCAAAATGAAGAGAGATAACATTATAACTAACAAGTTCTGAACAAAAACAGAACATAGATAATAAGCCAACAATTCCAAAATTGGATACAGAAATAAACAAAGCAGAATTAGAAACAGTTTAAAAATACTGAATCCACAGTTTAAAATTGTTGAGTTAAAAAATAAATAAGAACTTGCATTGTATTTACAACTCTTGATTGCAACAATTGTAAAGCAGAACGATTGCTTTTTTGGTTGAAATTTAAAACAAAACAAAAACAAATATGAAATAAGGAAGAGCAACTTTGAATCTGAAGGCCTGAAATAGTCATTTTCAGAAGTATTTTTCAATATTATCTCACTCCTATGTATAATGATAAAAAGTGAAAAGCAAAAATTTCCCATAACTTATTGTTTCTGTCTTCATTTTAACAAAAATACATCCAGTTAATTTACTTGGAATGAAGACATTTCCAATGAAGAACTGAATATCAACTAAAAATTTAAACAGTGTAAATGCAAGCCACAGTAAACTAAAATCAAAGCTATTTTTTATTGGTATGGCTTCTTGGGTAAAGATCTTTCAGCATCCCTTTCTTGCTACATTTAAAAAAACATATCCTTCCAATTTTTCCTCTTTTTTTCACAATAAAAAAGTGTTTTCATATTTCTTTTCTCTGGCGAAAATCTTAATATATGTGTTTTTCCATTTCAGAAATAATGATCAACATTTTTAATTACTTAAGCAAATAGCCATATCTAAGCCTTATTGTGATTTTCATTCAAACAAGTACCAATCCATAAAGAGATAAAGCATAGCAAAAGAAAACTCGCTGCCATTGTTATGAGGTGTGTGGGGGGGGGCACTAAAAAGTTCTCTACCTATTTTTTCAGATTATATATATGCACAGAATGGGGACACTATATTTGTCATATATGAAAATGCTGAACCCAATGCCATTGGAAAGTATATTTTAATTTTCAATGTTTTTCTCTGTGAGTGGAAATATTTACCACTCCACTAAGTACCTGACCCTCATCATATGCTCTACCTTTACAAGAAAATGGAATACTGTTGTCATATTTGGGTGGAAACTGCCCAGTCTTCACTTTCCAGTCTTGATAGAGTTCAAAAACGTCTCTAAGTCCTTGCTGGAGAAGAATTATTTTCCGCTCTCCAACCTCTCTCTCACAGGCAGTATCTGTTGAGCCTCGCACTGCTCAATCGCTACTTTCATAGAAAGTGCTCAGATAAGCTACATTCATTGGTTCTGCCAGGTTTAAACATCATGGTTAGTACCTGCCATGCCACTTACATTGTAGTAAACCACCCACATTCCCTCTGTATTCCATTGGTGAGAAGTAAGTTCCACTTGAACAGCTTATTTTTGTGAACCACTGCTCTGTGGAACAGACTCTCAAGAGAATGTTTCCTCAATCAGTACAATCTTAAATTGTTCAAGTCTAGAGTTAATTGTTATCTTCCTCTACTATCCATATAAAACTACCCCTTAACATAACCCACTATCTTGAGTGTCCCCCCATCAGATTTTCTACAGGGTGAAGCTTATTGTAAAGTAAATAAAAATTAAGAACATGTGGTTTTAGGTTGTCCTTATACAGATTAGGCTTTCATATTTAAAAAAAAATACAGAAATAAAGAAAATACAAAATGTCAGTTTTGATCTATGTACATTTGCTCATGCAAGTCTAAATCTACTTTGATAAACTTATTGAATTGCAATAGGAGTGTGCCATGTTCTTTCAGGATGTAGGCAGTCATGGCTCTCCACAATTACCTGTCCTTTGTAGCAATTAATAAATTTTGTCTTTTTGTTATGTCCTAAACTTTGTTCTGCCTTCCATTCACTAAGTAGGTTATACATTGTTTTTCTCTGTCCCTCTTGCCTTCAGTCTGGCCTGTGTATACCAAATTTTACAATCATTCTTTCCTCATTATGTACCCTAAAATATTCAACTGTCTCTTCCTCATATTAAGGACAAACTTGTCCTTTTTGTTTCCATTTTCTTTAAAACTTCTTTGTTGCTTAGATGTTCAGTTCATGTTATTCTCAGTATCTTTCTGCAAAACCCCATTTCTGTTGCTTCAAGTCTCTTCTTTATTTGTGAGGAGATTGCCCAGCATTGACTACCATATAACAAGACTGATATTATGTAACAGTTAAGTTTTCTTTCCTTTGTCTCTAATGAAATTTTACAGTTTCTTAATACTTAGCAAAAGATGCCTTCCAAAAACTAAACTATTTTAAGGCACCTTTGGATTTCAGTGTCACACTTTCTGTCCTCTGTTAAAACACTTGCCAGATATTTAAATTGTACTTGTTTGATTTTGTCATCTCCAATCTGGAATTTGCATGTTGAGCTGTTTTGTTTCCTTTCTGTATCTTCTATCAACATTGTCTTCTGCATATCTTATGTTAAAATTGTGTCTACCAATAATGAATCCTGGTAGGACTTCTAAGTTCTCTCAGAATTACCATACTATATAAGATTGAATAAGTCCAGTGTGAAGACACATCCATGTCTTATACCCCTTTCTATTTTTGTAAGCAACATAGATACTAATCTGATTAAACTTATGATTATTTTGAATACAATTTGCAAAATACTGGAATAACCATTAAAATATAACTTAAAATAATTTCAAATCCACATTTGCTTTTTTTAATGACAAATCTTAAATTCAAAAGGAATTTCCAAAACTATCAAATAAATTCAGATATAAATATTTACGGTATATTTATCCAACTTTTCTTTATTTTTAAATTACCTGAGATGTCACTGCACAATTATATCATAAGTACAATTAATAACATGGGATGAACAAATTTTGAACCTGTAAAAGTGATTCAATTATGTAAATGATTCTGCCTATTTGAGATGCAGGGAAAGACATTTATTACATCAATAACAGGAACATATTTTTTTTTATCATTTCACCCCATGCATGGCAATGAAACCATTAGAATGCAAGGGATTACTGAGTGTGAAAGAATATGATAAAATAAAACATTATTAAGGAAAGCAAACAATAAAAGAATGAGAATTAAGAAGACAGAAGATAATGATTGATATTGCATTTTAATTTTTGAAAATCAAAGCTGATTGGGAAGCAAGAATCAGGAAGAAAATTCCACAAGTGAGAAGTGCAAGAAAAGAAGAAATTGTTAGCATAGAATTCACAGTTACATCTAAGGCTGCCCAATAAACATAATTGTTATTTTTAATGTTTCATGTTTCTTAATCTTGAAAAATCAACTTTGGAGGGAAAAAACAAATAATACAGCTTTCCTTTGCCAAGGAAATCAATTCCAATTTTTTGATTTACAGTTTTCATTCTGTAACTACAGACAGAACAAAAAATGTTTTCAATTGGATTTTTCTTCTTTGCCAAATTATAATGAATTCTAAAAGTGATAGTTACACTATCAAAATATGAACAACATTGACAAAAAAAGATCTTTTAGAATTTACTGAAGAGCATTATTTAAAAGGTTTTTTTTTCTTTGAGAAGAAAAAATAATGCTGGATAACTTGATTCAAGTTATTTCTATAGAGAAACAAACACAGTGATATCAAATGTTCAGTTTAAGGAAGGTAAGATAAAAAGTTTCCCTATCTGTTACCTGCTTGAAGCTTTTTAAACATGTAACCTTATGGGTGTGTGCAGGTGGAGGAGAACTCATTAGAAACATAAAAAGCAGAAGCAGAAAGTGAAGGGGTTAAGAAATAGAAAAGCTCCTAACTCAACCCCAAAATGGCCACTGCAAGTGCTTCCGGATGTAGTTTCAACAGAAAATATCAATCAGGAGTTTTTTCTTTAAAAACAAAATGAAAAATTTTTTTTTTAAATTTGGTGATTCATAATTTCAATTAAAAATTTTTTTTTTTTTTTTTCAAACTATTCAAAAGGTTGTTTTGTTTGAAAATAATCAAAGAGTAAACTATTTTCTGCAAAGGAATCAAAGAATTGTGTTGCTGTTAATTCTGACACACAGCAGAGACAATGGGGTGGGGGTGCCAGCTAAGACAATGAAAATGGTAGCAGCAATAGCAGTATTCTCTTCAATTCCTGATGCTGCTGCTGCAACCTACAGGAATGTATGAGTGTGACCTTTGTGCATTGGTACCTTCCAGCTGATAATAAGCTAAGACACTAACAAAAAACTGCTTTTTCAAATTATAAAGTACCATTCTTAAAAAATTTCTATCTTGATTTTAAACCTATTTCGCTGGTGTCTCATCTGTCAAAAGTGATATCACATGTTCAGTTAATCTAGGAAGAAATTTAGTTTGTCTTTCTTTTGGCACAAAAAAATTCTTTTATTAACAATAGACAAACACTAGGTTCTTTGAAATAGAAGAAGATTTAAGAAAGTTTATTTTTAAGGACATCAAGCATTCAAAGTGAAAAATGAATCATTTTTAATATATAACAGCAATAAGTATCTGCTTGACCTCCAATTATTTTGTTATTATCAAGTGTCATATTATAAACAGGCTTTATTATATAATCCCAAAGAAAAAAACCATATAAACAGATCTAACATTTTCGTAAATCATATAATGAATTTTCAAGAAATCTTTCAATTTAATAATCCACCTGATCAAATTTTTAAAAATACCCAGATATTAATATAAGCAAAAAATGGAAATGTGATGAAAATACAGCAAATACTTTCTATTCAACAGATTACAGAGACATTACTAAAATAAGAAATTCAATGAAGCAAAATCCCATGTGGATTATGAAGAATCAAATGTATCTTATGAAACAATTTTAGAAATGTTAGCTTGAATGATAGGCAACTCAAATGAAAATTTAAATCCTGATGGAGGTTATATTCCAAGTGCCTCATCCTTAAAGTAACAGATATTTCTCATTTTTTAAAAGTTGCTTATCTGAATGCATCAAATAAGATATTTAAAACTCATTTCACTCAAATGAAAAATAATAAAATAAAATCTTTCCAGCTAGTCATTGATTTTTTTTTCCC